TTTTGTTTAATTAGAATGTTTTTTTTGTTTAGTTAGGATACCTTCTTTTTTTCCTAGCTAGAATATTTTTTTTATAGTAGAATGTTTTTACTGTTATTAGAATATATTTCTATTTATATTTTATTAGAACCAAATACTTTCATGAATTGAATATTTGAGATACTATTTTAAGCAAGAATTTGAATGAGAATTAAAGATCTTATCAGATGGAACAATTTCACATGACTTTTGTATTGTTCATTGCCTTCCATATGCTTTTAGAGAGTGTTTAGCCTTACATGTTTTGAGATGCTCTAAGTGTGAAAATTTTTATGAATTTTTTGATCAACTAGAGAATTATGCAACTAACAATTATATAGCACAATTACATGAAGTTCAAGATCAGTTAAAACATTACTTAGGTCATCAAGCATGAAAAGTTTATCTTAATGCTCAATTCAAAGCAACTTTAGCTCAGTTAGATTGCAATAGGTCTCTAGTTGTAGCTGACTATAAAATGAGAATTCTCCCAAAATCTGCTTGTAAAACTAAAAAGAATTTTTATGGTAAAAGAGGTTGGACTTTGCATACTATTTTAGTTTTTAGAAAAATTGAAGATAAAGATATATTAGATATTCAGGCATTCGACTATTAGTCTACTGACACAAAACAAGATGCTTGGTTCACCACTTTTTCATTTGAAGCAGTATTTGAATCACTGAACTCAAAACCAAAGTGGATAACTATAATTTCTGATAACAGTATACATTACCATAACTCAGAGTTGATGACTATCATAGCATATTGGCATATATAGTATTCTATTAAGGTCAAAAGATAGTTGTTTTTGGAGCTAGGAAAAGCCAAGACAACTGTTGATTCTTATCATGCAAATGTAATATTGAATTTTTCATAAGCAGTGTTGCGAAGGTTATTATGTCAAATTGTTTCAAAATTATTAAACGTATGTCCACTAATTTTAGAAACAATTAAACATAGTAACCTTTACAATATTGTTCATAAGTCAACTTTTTGACAACTATAAGGTACTAACAATTTAATGCTTTGATAATATATTAGATTAGTCATAGCATTAAATGGTATGTTCAGGTTGGGTTTGACTTAGTTGAAGGCAAAGATATAGTCAAGGCAGTGAAAGGGTTAGCTGGAATATTGCTAGTACAAATCACAATAAATCGTGACAATGGAAATAGTGGATCTGAAATTGAAGATATTGATTCAAATAAAAAAAAAAAAACTAATCAAAAAAAAGTAAAAGTTAAAACTATAGCAGGGATTTTAAGATTTTATTGCTAGGAATGGCTAGTAGAAGGTAAATTAGCTGGGTTTATTCATGCTAAAGGACTGCCTAACATAGGGTTGTAGAAAAATTTTTCACTAGCAGAAATAGACAAATTATCTAATTTCCTGATTACTCATCCAAAGCTGATAGTTTCAGCACATACAAAACCCATATCTGATTAGACAATTCCAATTCCTAAGATACAAGGTATATTACATTCGAATAAACAGCCAATAAAAAAAAAAATAAATAAAATTGATTGCTTGTGGTAAACTTTAGTTTCTACAAATAATAGTATAATCGAAGACACAGTAATAGAAGGTAAGTTGTAACCTTATGAACTATTTACAGTTACTAACTTATATTGTTCATAAAATAGACATCATATATTTCAATAGTGGAAATGATTATCAAGATATTGAGGGTAAGAACTATTTATTCTGTACTTGTATCCCAAATGTTTCATCATAGAAAATGGTCATCTTTTATTTTAAATAATAGTTTAGCCAAAACACAATTTAGTGCAATAATAATTTATTTACTTTGGTATCTATTTAGAAAATAGAGTCAGAAGTAACAAACAAAATGCATTCATTTATCAAAAATCTGCTAAAATAGAAAGTTTCAATGGAATTGAAGTTGAAATGAACAAACAAAATGCATTCAATTATTATCAAAAATCAGCAATAATGGGTAAGCAAGATATAAACTTGACCTGATTAATAATAATAATAATAGTTAGTTTGTTTTGCACAGTTATTTAGGAAACGGTGCTAAAAAGGATAAGCAGAAGGCATTTATTCATTTTCAAAAACTTGCAGAAATGGAAAATTCAATGAAATTGGAATTGAAATTAATGAACCAAAGGTATTCATTTATAATTAAAAATCAGTCAGGATAGATAATTCTGAAGTAATGTTCATAGAGCTATTGACATTTTATTTATTTAATTTTAACTAACGTAAGTCTCTTTAGAAATTTAGAAAATAAATTTCAGATACCAAAGGGTTGGGTATTTCCAGAAAATACAAGATTCGGAAAAAAAGGTAGTAGAAAAAAAATTAAAACCAAGGTCGTCAATTATCTAAAACAATTTTTTCTTAACGGTAACCTAAACCCCAAGGACAAGCTCACAGCCAAAGAAATGTATGAGGAGTTGTTGGAGCTCGCAAATTCTGAAGAAATCGATGAGAACCATGTGACCAAAGTTACCACCATCCAAAACTAGATTAGATGATATTCAAGAGAATTTAACCAACAAGGGACTATCATCGCACTTGAAACTTTTAAAACAACAGACCCTTCATAAATTGGCGAAGATTAGTAAATATAGTACTTCATCTTATCCTAAATTTCAAAATTTTGTAGCTTATTATTTTATTTTAAAAATAGG